CCCATCCCCATCCCCATCTCCATCTCCATCTGTGTCTCCATGTCAGTCTCCATGTCCATGTCCTTGTCTACCCCCATCTCTGTCTCCAGCCCCATCCCATCCCTGTTTCCATCTCCATCTCCATCTCCACCTCCATGTCAGTCTCCATGTCTGTCTCCATCCCCACTCCATCTCTATCCCCATCTCTGTCTCCATCTCCATCTCTGTCTTCATGTCCATGTCCATGTCCATCCCTATGTCCATCTCTATCTCCGTCTCCATCTCCATCTCCATCTCCATCTCCATCTCCATCTCCATCTCCATCTCCATCTCCATCTCCATCTCCATCTCCATCTCCATCTCCATCTCCAACTCCATCCCTATCTCCGTCTCCATCTCCATCTCCATCCTCGTCTCCGTCTCCATCTCCATCATCTCCATCTCTGTCTCTGTTTCCGTCTCCACCCCCATCTCCACCTCTGTTTCCACCCCCATTCCCGTGCCGCACTGGGTGCTCACCCTCTGCTCCATGGGACCGTACCGCATCACCCCAGGGTACATATCCCGGGAGCTGCCTCCGTCTCCCGCGTGGGGGGGGTCCCACGACGTCTCACCTGTTACCGAATTATAGAAAAAAGCCTGTCCGCTGGCTTCGTCCACGTGCTGTTCCCACTCGGGAAACTCCGGGCTGTGGGCGAGCGAGGAGGCGGGAGAGACGGCGGGACTCACTCCATCTTCTGCCTGCCCAAAGGGACAATCCCACGTGGTCTCGCCCGTCACCGGGTTATAATAAAACAAATGTCCACTGTCCGTGTCCGTTTTTTTCCGGGCTCCTCTGGGGCCGAGCCGGCGGCTGCGGCTTCTTCCCGCAGCTCCTGGATGTTGAGGTAGATGGGGGCAGGCGGCTCCTCCGGCTCTTTGTGCGTCTGGGGGGGACACGAGTGGGTCACTGGTGCTGCAGGTGGTGATGGGTGCGGCGAGCTGTGGGGCAGGGGTGCCGGGGATGGCGTTCCTGGGATGTCC